CCTGCCTGCGCTCGCTTACCTGCCACTACTGTCTTGGCAACTGAGGCCTACATGGCTCCCTGCCAACTTTGATCTGTTTCCTCCTTTGTTAATCCTCACTAGCTAGATAAATAACGATAAAGCCAGCTGGTTAAAGAATTCAATAAATGTTCATGAGGCAAATATGATGTCATGTCTGAATGTTGTTTCAAAATTGTCTGGCAGCACTCGGCCACAGACAGACCACTGCGGAGACGGGTGGCGGAGAGGGAGCGGTGCTTGTGCTCATCTTACTCCAACTGGACATGCTTGAAGTTTTTCTTCATAAAAAATTAAAACGAACAATCTGCTGTTACTAGTCCTGTCTTCCCTCTGGCGCCAAGTTAGCACATATGAATATTCAAACACAGATGGGCTTTTAGGAACTGAGCAGCTCGTCTGGAAAATGCTTTCTAGTATGTACGGCGATTCTGATCACAATGAGGCTCGGATAGGGCATGCTGCCTGCGTCAGCGCACTGGGCTGAAAGGCGCATGAAAGTACAGCCAAGACAGGCTGACCCAGAGGCACACAGTGCTCACTGTTCAGAAGAACTCCTTGTTCACTAGTTATCTAGACCACAAATGGACTCTATTCAAAATCTTAAGGAGACTTCAAACTGGCCAGCCTCATCTTTAAACACAGTCACAAAACGAAGGGTTCAGAATCCGTTCCCATCCAACACTCATGTTTTAAAAGGATGCAGCCTGCGCTAAACATCCACATGTCGTACTCGGAAGTGTCGCTGTTTCATAGTGTAGCACAGACCTGAGAAGACACCTCCCAGTGGCCACTACATACATGAAAACGCTCAGGGTCATGAGCCATCCAAAGCCTAAACCCACCCTAGTGCCGGCAAGTCTATTCCCACTCACAGCAACCGTGCACAGTGAGGTGGACCCGCCCCATGCGGCTTCCAAGACCGTGATCTGTACTGCACCCCTGCCATGGCTTTCTCCCACAGAACGGATGGTGACAGAGGAATCTCATCAAGGGTGGAGTTATACAGCCAAGTATTGCCACTGCTGTCAATAAGTTGAACAACTATAAAAACTTGAATTGCCAAAACTTTTCACAGACGTTATTTACAACGACAGAGTAGTTTCCCGGGCAGTCTATGTATAAACACCTTATGGAATTTGGTTCCTTGGTTTGGATATTTAGGGTGTTTCCTGGGGCATCCCACTTAAGTGGCCTGATAAAAGTGTTGAATGCTTCTGTTCTGCCTCCTGGTTTGCTGAGGAGCACAGGGGTCTTAAAAGCTTCCAGGCAGCCATCCAGAGCATAATATTTGGATCTCCGTTCACCTGGAGCAAACACACAGAGAAGGAGACTGGGAAGAGGATGAAGAGATGGAATGTGTGACGAATTGCCTCTGGGAACGCCTGCCTCCTTGGACACGAGACCAGAACTGGAACCACTGCGCCTACTGACCCTTCTGATGTTAGACGCTGGTTTTGGGTGGCAAGAACCCACCTCAGAAACGGCGGAGGACCTCCTCCTGGCTGCAAATCCTGACCCAATCACCTTTGCCTGTGCTTTGAAGCAGCACAAGCCGGCGGCCTACCTGAAGTCACAGTGCAGACAATGAAGGCAGCTGCAGGAGAGGGCGCTGCCCCACCAGCTGGTCCCCAAAGTGACTCCTTGGGGCTTAAGGTGCATTTAGTCACTGAAGCGTAAGAGCTATTTCATACAACAACCTAGTCCTTGGAATGTAACGGTGTTGATAAGTGAGGAGTGGGTATGTGTTTTCGTTCCTAAAATTATTCTGAGGACGTAGACTAGTCATTCGCGGATAGTACAGGGAACTGGGGGAACGAAACCTCATTTCCCAAAGCGCAAGTTAGTTCAGGTTCGATTTTGCAAAAGAAAATAAGAGTAAAGCCTAGAACGTTACCTTTAATTTTAACCTGGTTCTACCTTCTTCATCCAACATTTCCTCATCTTCAAATTCATCTTCATAATACTGAGGGTCAAAAGGTCTGCAAATGTTTTTTAAATAAACCATTAATCATTTGGTAAGGATTATTATTACCGTTATGGAATACTATCTCTATGAATACATACCAATATATTAAAGTGTTTATAATACGAATACTACCAACATAATTTTAATTTAATTTTTTAAAGATTTAAAAA